GGCAAATTTTGGATAGAGTCTTGGTAGCGCATGAATGCCTTCACACTAGACACTTGGCAAAGGACCCGGGCCTTATCTTTAAGATTGACTAGGAGAAGGCCTACGATCATGTGGATTGGGCCATTCTGGAAGAAACTATGGCCCGGATGGGCTTCAGGGAGCACTGGAGAAAGTGGATGCGTGGCTGCTACTCCAATCCCTTCTCGGTGTTAATCAATGGTACGCCCAAAGGTTAATTCCCAATGGAAACATCAGAGTCTGGAACCTTTAGATGACCTCTAAACGACTCCGAAACATTAGAATTTCTCTCTTTGTCATCCTTCTTGAGCTTAGCCTTCTTGGCTCGTATAGGGTTTGACTACATCTTTGGACCCCTTCCCCCTCAGGGTCATTTTCAGTACCTCTTTTTACAAGAAACTCCTCCAACCTCCCACTTTCCCTCTTTCTCCGAGATCTGTTGTGGCCCAAGTTTGGTCATCCTTTGCACCTCCAAAGGTGCAGGCCTTCAACTGGATAGCTTGCTCTAAAAAGACACTAACGGTGAACTAATTACAACGGAGGAGAGTCCCCATTCCTAACCAATGTGTGATGTGCACACCTATTCATTCATTGCAAGTTTGCTTTTGAACTTTGGAGTCTCTTGCTCCATCTCTTCGGCTTCTTGTGGGTTACTCCTCCTTCTTTCCGGTCCTCTTCAACACGTCAAGGGAATCCCCCGTGGCCTTCCGCTGGGAGACTACTCTGGAAAACCACCATTGCTGGCACCATTTGGGCAATTTGGATGGAGAGGAACTCGAGGATTTTTAGAGGAACCAAGAGTGATGATGCTGGTTTATTTCACAAAATTACCTATGGTCTAGCCTTTTGGGCTTCGAATCACAAGGCCTTCAAAGGACTTCCTGCCTCCCCTTTTCGTAAACCAGTGGAAGGAAATCTTACTAACTCAGTCACCCAGGGCACATAGACCGAGCAATTGGTCCCCTCCCCCGGAGGGCCACACCAAGCTAAATTTCGATGTGTGCTCTTTAGGCAACCCAAGTCCGGCAGGAGTAGGTGGGGTCTTCCGAGACGTCCTCGACACTGATTTAGCCTGCTACTCCGAAAACATTGGCCACGCAGGTTCCCAGTTGGCAGAGTCCTTGGCACTGCTAACTGGTTTTAAGCTTTTCGAGCCCTCCTGGCCTCCACCTCTCTTAGTGGAAGAAGACGCTAAAATGTTATATCTTGGGCAGCAGGCTCTGGAGCCCCTCCCTGGTACTTGGCTTCGATCTTTGATGAGATTTCTCACGTTTGCAGGGATATATCCATCTCATGGAAGCATATTTGGTGGGAATCCAACGACATGGCGGATCACGAAAGATGGAACGGCAGCTGATTCCTCGAACCTTTGAGTTGCTGGTTTTTGGTTTTAGTTTATCCTCTTTTTTTTTGTAAGGGCCAATTGTTGTGGCCAGTTCTTGGTTTTATCTTGCTTTCCAGGGTTGGCTTCTTTTTTCTATGACGCTAGACCTTTTTTTGTACAGGAGTACCCTTATAGGGAACTCTAATTCTTTTTTGGGGCACGTGGCCTAACCTGCGTGCCACCTCTGCCAACTCAATGTGCTTTTCTTACTCTCTTAATACTACTGTTAACATCATAAAAAAAATATACGTCAATGGATCACTTTCAAAGTCAATGTGGGCGGCCAAGAAATCTGGTGGTTTTCGAAGTCTAGAACTTCTCCATAGGATTGGGGGCTTTTTCAGTGGTCGAGGGTAAGGAGGAGGAAGGGATCTTAGTCTTATCAATAACCTTAAGGTCTTGGGTTTTTACTCTCTTGGAATGGCCAACATATACATCTTCGATGAAGCAAGTATCCCGACTAATGGTAATCTTACTTGTTTCTAGATTAAGGAATCTATAACCCTTGGTTGCATTCTCATACCCAATAAGAATAAAATGAGGGGTTTTTGGGTCTAACTGGGATCTTAAGTTTGGTGGAATTAGAACATGTGCGACACTACTCCAAACATTGAAGTAACTGAAAGTAGGAATCCCATCTGTCCATCTCTTATGGGGAGAGATATGGTTTGAGACATTGGCAACCAGCAGAGCTTCATCCCAAAGGCTGTAACCAAGAACTGGAAAATATAATCATGCATCAGACAGTTTCTACAAGGGTTCAGTTCTTTCGTTCAGCAAAACCATTTAGTTGGGATATGTAAGGAGATGAGGTTTGGTGAATGAGGGTATGTGCCCTCCAAGACGTTTCAAACTCATATTCCTCACCTTTCACTCCTTAAAACACTAAATTTCCTACCCAGCTGATTTTCAAGCTCTGATATATATTCATCAAATTGTGAAAAGGCTTTCGGCTTTAACTTTTGATAGATACGCATTACAGTATCTTGAATAATCATCCATAAGGTGAAATATTTCACTACTGCACTTAGAAGCTTTCTACATATGAGTATGTACCACTTTTAATAACTCTGATAGAGTATGCCTTTTTTAAATGGAGTTTCTGAAAGTTTTCCAGCAACGCGAGTTTCATGAGATGATGTGCTATCTAACTCTCAGGCTTCAACCAAATCTCTTATCTTCGCCAAAATTAAAGCTAAGCTGATTTTACGTGCTTCTAACCACAAATACTTTAAAGGTGTTGCAACTTCAGCTTTCTACCAGAACTGGAATGCTAAGTAAAGTCCCTAGAGCCTCAAACGGGTGCCCGCCCGACCCGAGACATTTCAAGCTTAACTTCGATGGGTTTTCTTTAGGGAACCCAGGTCCCTCAGGACTAGGTGTGATCCATAGGAATCACCTGGGTGACTCGATAGCAGCCATCTCCAAGTTCATCGGTCACAAGGAATCCATGGAGGCAGAAGCTTTAGCACTCCTAGAGGGCATTAGGCTCTTTCCACTTCATTGGATTGAGATCATAACTGTAGAGGGAGATTCCAAGAACGTGATCACCTGGGCCCAAAACTACTCTTCCATTCCCTGGACCCTGTTTCACATAGTTGACGAGATCTTCCACCTTTGCAGGGGATTCACATCTTCTGGAAGCACACGTGGAGGGAATCAAACCAAGACGCGGACGATCTGGCCAAAGCAGCTGCTCTCAGTGGAGGACTACTTTGAATTTTGGGATGGGTTTCTTTTCGCTGGTTGCTTTTTTTTCACTGTAACCCTAAAAAAGAAGACCTTTTTATTCTGTCTCCTCTCCTCTCCTTTTCTCTTTCTTCCCCCTGTACTTCTGCTAGCCTCCTGTGGCTAGCTTCTCCTACCCTCTTTTGCACCCCCTTACTATATATATAAAAGTTAACATTCTCAAACAAGAAAATAACAACGATAAGCACAAGTCACAAGACAGGTTTTCGAACAGCAGAAATTCTGTGAAGTCACCAGTTTCGACTTCACATAATCACAGTATGCACCAAACAAGGTCCAGTTAGTCGGCTTGGGCTCTGGACTGGGGCCTGGGGTGTCCTAGAGGATTCGCCCAAGTAGTGTTGACTCGCCTGTGGTGTATGAGCCCATAAAAGGGCTGAAAAAAAAAAAGATAAGATAAAAAATTGTTTTGAAAAAAGTAAAAAGCAAAATAAACTGCAAACAGCATTAAAAGTCCAAAAAAAGGAAAAATATGTAAAAGATGGAACTTAAAAAAGTTAATTTATAGCTGGCTATTCAGAAAAATTAAAAAAGGGAAAATTAGAAAAATAAGGCATATGATCAGGGAAACTCACAAATTGTTATGAAAAGCATCAAAGTTATATATAAAATATTTATACATTGATTTAGTAATCATATAAGTTTTATGATTTTTAATCATTTTTATACAACCAAGTTTGTACCCTAGAAACTCGGTTTGGCAAGGTGCCAAGTCCAAAGTAACTCGGCCGAGTTTTGAAACCTTAGTGCCAAATGAAGTTCCCAAACATTTTTCATCTTCATAAATGTTGGATGGTAGATGTGATCCTCCAAGAGAAGATTCAACCATCGATATTGGCTCACAAGAAGCAATGCATGAAACTAATGGATCTAAAGCTCTTGATTTTAAGTTGGGTTAAACTGCAATATAAGTGTTGTGAATTTTTTTGAAAATTTTTCTGAATCATACAACCCTTAGGCTGAGTATCAGCTCCAATCACTTGTTTGAGGTTGGAGATGCAAACACGTGGATGTGCCTTTTATATATGTGTTCTCAGAAATATGCAAGACCATCCCATCTCTTGAAAGGGTTTTAATTCCCCCCTCCTTAAACAATAAAACTTTAAGAGGACCTTGCTTTGATACCTTGTAGAGTGTAATAGAATTGATTGTTTAAAGCACAGCAATGTCCTGTATTTTTCACGTCATTGAAAATGGAAACCCAAATGGTTTTTATTTACATAGTAATATAAGGTACCAGGGATTTAAAAGGCTTCTACTTATTATATATGATGACGTTTAGGTCCAGTTAATGCTAAATGAGAGGCTGGGAAAGGCAAGCATTGCACCCACTATGAATGCTCTCAAAATGCTCAAACTGTAAAAAAGAAGAAAACTTAACCTTTACGCAGGTACAATAATGAGAATTAGCTTCTGGCCCTCATAGCATGCATTATTGTGCAAACACAAACAGTTGAAACCTGGATTATTTCAGTGTTCCACTGCAAAATATAGCCCAGAAATTATGATGTGAGTCTGAAGTTTCATGCCTGTAATCGACGTGCATAGATTTCCTAACCTTCAACCCTGGTCACTTAAAAAGGGGTTCTGGCAGCATATTGGTTGTCGTAGTCTTAGTCCTTTTGTGGGTGTTGCAGTGCTACTCATGATGGTCTATGAAGTTCTATGTTTTTGCTTCAACATGTTCGCTACAGAATCCTAAACTTAAACAGTTCTAAGTTTTTATTGAACTTCTAGAATGTAAAGCATTAATTCAGATCTGATCTGTAGCTTTTATGCTTTTCTTTTGTTGAATTTCTGTTTATGGTAGTTTTACTTTTTATGGATGACAATGCATCTTTGTCATTAGGTTCCTTTCTATCTGGGAGAATTGACAGAAAACATTGCACAGACTGATAGGATTCAGGCTCTTAAGATTTCTCAACAGAGACTGAAGGTAAATTTTCTGTTGATAAGTATTATCAGGTTTAATTGCTATTCGGTTTAATATCAGGTGCCTACATATTGTGGGCTTCATTATTCTATCTTTCACATTTGGCATCTCTGATTATTTGTTTCGTAGTCATCTTTTCTTGTGGTTTGAATTGCAGGAGTTCATTTCAGTTTGTGAAAGGCTAGAACTTGTGCCGGAAGAGGAACTGACTTCTGTTCAGGAGGGACCGGATACACTTGTTGCGCGAAGGGAGAAAAAGGCATGAATTATCCATTTCTTAAGTTTGTCGATTACATTTGAACTGCTTCCTAATTCTCTCGTGTTCTTTATTTGTATATTTTCTTGCATATACACTTTTATGCTGGATTCCTCACCAATTAAAGATACTGCTGTCATCCTCTAATAAATGAATTTTTAATCTGGAATACTCAATCATATCCCATGTAAAGGTTGGGAGATCAAGTTTAATGTGCATGTTATTTTTTTGACATTCTTGTGGAATTTTCTTTTAGGCACACCTGTAAAATTTGTTTGTTATTCCTCTTCCATGGTTCAACTGGGTTTCAAACTTCTTTTAATTTCAGGTTGCACGCTATAGACGTCAAAAGGCTGCTGAAGCAAAGCTTCAAGATATGAAGGAGCGGAAAGAACGTCGAGGGCGATCTTCTCGAGCAGCTGCTTTGACTACTCCTATTGAGACTGGTGAGGAAGATGTCCTGGATGATGATGGTGAGGAAGAAAGGGAGGTTAGTATATAAACTGTTACTGAAGAAATGGTTGTTCATGGACTTGTAAGTCAAGTAATGTGTATTTAAGTATCATACTATAGTTATGATCTTTAATGTAATGTGTATTTAAGTATCAACTATAGATATGATCTTTAATGTTGATAACATCTTGCACAAGATTTTTTCCCACAATTTATTTAGATGAAGTCCTACGCTTTTGGTGGAAGGAGATTCAAGAAATGTCATATCATGAGCCTCCAACCCCCCTCCTGCCCGTGGAAACTAGAACGCATCTTCGATGAGATGGGCTAAATTTCCAGAAACCTCATCATTTCCTGGAACCATAGTTTTAGGGAATTGAATTTCTCTGCTGATGCACTGGCTAAAGAAGGGGTTCAGTCCACCTTAACCTAGATGCCATCGGTCTAGCTTCTTTGTTTTTTGTTTTTTGCTCTTTTGGAAATTTTTTGTAAAGTTCGATATACTTAATACAAGTTAACATTCTCAAAAAATTTATTTAGATGAAGTGGAAACTGACACATTTCTCCATGTAATATAATACTTTTGCAGAAGTTTCAGACCTATGAAAGACAAATATTACTAAAGCAAATTGTGCCTGTATGGAGCTAACTCGTGGTTAGTGGCTTCCATCTGTTTGGGTTAATTAGGACAAGGGATGGCATTTGGGACATCATGCCACCTTAGTATTTTGTACCAATCTTTAACTATATTTAGTTATTAATTAAAAAAATATTTCATACTGGTCATTCCTTTGTCAGTGATGCTAATGGTAAACCACAACTTTGCATACGCATGCTCAACAACAGGATATCCTGTGTCTGCACAGTAGTAGGTGAGAGGAGATGATAAATAAAACAGGTGGCATGTGGATTTGCCGGGCTCTAATGTCAACCTAAACTTGTTCTATAATACATGGCATTCTAACGTGGATTGCTTAGATCAAGCAATAGAGTAATGAAAGGCAGCATGTGCCGACATGGGTATCTTAATTACATGATGGCCCTTGCGGGGCCTGTCATATTTTAGCTATGCAATTGCACATTGTGACATGCTGGAAAAGAATGGCTCCAGGGGTGGGCTTTGACGTTAATTGCAATTGGCCATGGGTTGTCTAGTATTTGTGTAACTCACAAATGTTACAGATGGGTGTCCATTTATGAACTGTCTCATGAATAGATTTGATGTTTATGTCTAGACAGTTTGTGGGTGTGTATACTTATGCCTCTTTATAGTATCCTAACTAGGAATCAGGTTGCTTTTTAGTATCAGAGTGTGAGCTGTCTGTTGATGTGCTTAACAAATGCTTTGGGTAGTGTACAGCTGTATTATATAGGACTATGTTGTTGCTCGTAGCACTTGTGTTCTTTGTTTGTGCTTATTTCATGTCCATGCATTTTTTTATGGTTGGATTGAAATAGCTGGTGCACATGCTAGAAGAGATGCACAGTTCGGTTGGGTGGATTGAGGTACTTATGCTTGTGCCCATCACAAGCTTAGCATAGAAACCCTTGTTCTACAATAATGACAAGCTTATCTAGCCTGCAGCAGAACTCTTCTTCTTCAGCCTAATTGCCAAATGGATGCACCATATACTGAGAATCTATCAAGAAAGACATGACCATGGGCATAATCTCTCACTATCATCCTATGAATATTAAGCAGCATCACAATGCTAAGGCTTGCTCCATCCACCAACTTGCATCACCTTTAGTCCACTCCCCTCATCTCTTTACATGCCAGGCATGCTAGCTGGTTATGCCATGCCTGTGGCCTTCTAACAGTCATATGCCTGTTAACATGTGGTCGTGGATTCATTACCGTAGGTTTGTATACCTTTGGCTTGCTGGAGTTTGTCACCATGGAGCTCCAGTGTCCTTGTTGCACTCCAAATTTAACATGCTTGAGCAAATACATATGCTTTTACCTGAAGATTTCTACCATCAACCTCTTACTGAAGGTCTTCACGCCTTTTCATGGCCAGGTCATTTGCTGCTTGTGTGTCGTCATGTTTCATTTTGCTTTTGATGCAGAGCCTCCTTAGGGATTTACATGTTTTCCCCTCGTGGTTGAATAAATTTAGTACCATCATGATACACCTTGCAAACCAAAAGAGATCTTGTACTTCACTGAACAACCCAAAACCCATAAATGCATAGAAATCAGCTAAAAGATTGAACTGATTATTATGCTGCTTTATCTGCTTCCATTAAGTTTCACATGAGTTCTTTCACTGATAATTTCGTTGTTACCATCACTCTTCTTGCCAACACATGGGAAGATGACATATGGAGTCCTTACCACTGCATCTGCTGCATCATATGGGGTGTCTACTTCTTGAGAGGCAATGTCCGAAGGCCAGCATCATGTGCCTCGCCATGTAAGGGGTGCTTAATGCTTGAAGTAGTTCACTGCCTGTTTTCTCAACTACTTGGGTTCTGTTTTTTTCTTGTTTTCTTTTTTTCTTTTTGTGTGTATGTGTGTGTGTGAGGGTTGTTCAATGCTTGAACTAGTTCACTCCCTGTTCTCTCAACTATTTGTGGTTTAGTTTCTTTTTCCTCCCCTCACCTTCTCGGTTTTTTTATTGTGAAAGTAGGCTTAATGTGGGACTCCCTTGGGGTAGTTCCGCTTTTTGGGAGATAGGCTTTGCATGGAATGCAAGAGAACTGAAATATAGGGCATTGAGAGAGCTACAGGACATGGTTCAGCAAATAAAATTCTATCCAACCGTTGCAGAGCAGACATATGTGCTATGTCTTCTTCGGCTGTGGCCCTCATTATATTATACATCTGATTCTGAACACTTATTACCTTCTTAGTGCAAAAACATGCATTAGTGGCTCTTTTAGTTTCATTTGTACTTCTCACATCATGGTATCATGAACTTTAATACTTTTACCTTATTGTTCCCATCACTTATGCTTTTATTGAGGGTATGGCCCTTGATAGAGCAGAATGGCAGAGCATTATTCATGTAGCTGGCCTCAAATAGTTGGGATAAGGCTCTGATGAGGATGATGACGACTTATTGTTCCTATCACTGGCTGTTCTATTTATTTTTGTGTTCATCCTTTCTAAGATAGAAGTGTGAGTCATCTCTATTAGCGTATCTTTTATTTTTCGTTGTTTATTGGTTAGTTTTAGATAGCCGTTGTCATAAAATGCCCTGTTCATGATGCTTCTGCACGTTATACTTAAACTATAATCCCATTTTCTGACTGTCTTCTTCAAAGCTGTCAAAGACATCAAATAATTGCAATGCCAAAGTTTGAGAAATTAGAAGAATCTGTCGGTCACTTATCACTTGGATTTGTTGAGAAAATACATTTCACTAGCTTCTTTCACAGTTCTAATGAATTTGACATATCCCTCCAACTTAAAATGTCCCAATATCATAGCTTCATCTTGTTGATTCATATTCACACTTTATCGGTTGTTAGGCTATTCACAATTTGTTCTGATTAAGGACTGCCGAAGTTCAAATTACGACAATTAACGTTTTCACTATCCAAACTGCAATTGGTCCACATTTAAAGAGTATTTTATGCTCTTCAAGTCTGAGTAATTAGATATTTATTGTATTGCTCTGACTCTAGTGAAAGAAAAGTCAACATCGCATTCCATTTACAGGGTAGGTGATGACCAAGATTAGCTTCCAGGAACTCTCCCAAGCTGCATAAGTTTTTTAATTCTTTTCTCTGAAGATGCTAAGTTTTGTACTGTTTGTAATCCATGTAATCTATGATGGAGATTATTCAGAAAAAATTCATGTTTGTCTGATTTTGAGATTGATGATGATGACATTTTCAACTGTCTTCTTTTGAGGTCAGGGAAAAGTATATGCTATTGATGTTTTGGATATCAGATTTAGCATATGTTTAGCATCCAAATGTGGAGTGTTTGAAAAATATACAACATTTATTTTATGCTTTTGCATTTGTTGCAACTTGAAACATTTGATGTGAACTAACTCAATATATGCTCTTGGGGAGCTTATAGAAGGGTTTTTCAGAATGGATTGTGTTGACTTATTGCTATCAGACTTATGAAATTTCCCTTACTACAATAAATTGCTTTGTTGGTGCAGGCATGGCTTACTACAATCTCTTTGGCGCTCTGTAAGGTTGGTCATATCTTTCCTTCACACAAATGCACGCGTATGTGCACACATGCCTAATAGAATCTGAATGCTTAATACATTTCTTCATTTCATAGTGACTAATCAAGTGCCTTTTCTCATTCTTATGGTTAGGCCTTTGATTTACTTGACATGTTTAAGATGGAGGAACAAATGCTTTCTGTTATGAGGGAAAAGCAGTTACAGGTACTAGTATTTGGAAAACGAAGAATATGAATTTAATGATTCTGCTGGTAGCATTGTGGTCTGCCTATCTTTATTTTTTGTGAAGATCTAGAAGTATTGCTTTACAACCACATAGGCTGCTAAATTCATAGAACTTGACTTTCCAAATTAAGAAGATTGCCTTTTCTGCCACTTTTAGCACTTAAAGTGTATTATCTCTAATATTAACTGATTCTTAGGGCATGTTTGGATGTACCTGTTATCACTGATAATTCACTATTTCAACAAAATTATTACTGATAATGAATTTTTTGTTGTTTGGCAATGTCCATATAAGTTATAGGAAAACTGTTTCATGCGGGCCGGACCGCATAACTACATATGCGGTCAAAAAAGTGTAAAGCATCCATCTTTAAGATTGATGCAAGTAGGTGTTCCATCGAAAAAATTAGAAACTAACAGTCCCAATGTTTTCTTACTAGAATCATTATTATTAGTTTTTTAAAAGGGAAATATCCTATCCCCTATTTTTAACTTCTATATCTCATTAGACCCAAGAATTGAAAATATTACTTGTATGCAAAAAGACTCCATCTTTTCTATCTTCCAACTCCCTAAACCCTTTTGACCATGTATTATTGACCTCAACAACTTATAAAATGACTCTATCTCTCTCACTCTCTCTAAAACTCCATCTCTCTCTCACATCATCGTCTCTCTCTTTCAAAACTCCATTTCTCTCTAAAACCCAAACTCTATCTCTCTCTCTCACATCATCTTCTCTCGCTCTCAAAACTCCATCTCTCCCCCCTAAAACTCAAACTCCATATCTCCCTCTCTAAAACTCCATCTCTCTTCAACCCACACTCCATCTCTCTCTCTCTACTAAACTCCATCTCTCTCACACACAATAAAAAGGTGTGCTTGTGTTCGAGCTCAAGCTAAACCCCTTGGCTGGTAAACCCACCGAGAAGCGAAGAGAGAGAGCTGAAGTTTGAATAGGGTTTCATTTTAGTGTTTGTTTGGGTCAAAAATTTATGGTAAAAAATATTACTTGTGCTTACAAGTAATATTTTCAATTCTTGGGTCTCATGAGATATGGAAGTTAAAACTAGGGGATAAGGAGATATTTTTCCCTTTTTAAATTTATTTATTTTTTCATATTCATGATCTTTGTATTAGAGATTACATGTCCTTAAAAATTAAGTCCAAAATCCATCTCAAAAATACATTTATTAAGAGATCCGCATTTCTACATATGCGGGCTTGGCCTCATAGAAACCGGGTCCTAAGTTATATGAGATAAACTTATAGGCAATTGTACATACAAGTTTTATCTTTTTTTAAAGGGTGAACAATCAAATTAGAGCCTACCTTCAAATAGTGTCGAGAAATGTGGTTCAACACTGAAAATCTTTGTGATAGCCTTAAAATATATTTTCATCTTTATTTATAAATTTTAAAGCTTCAAAAATAGTGTAGATCGACAGATCTATGAAAACTTCAAAATCTTGAAATAAACGGTCCAAAAATGCATTACAGAATACACTATTTCCAAAACTTGAAATCTGTTTTTTTCTCATGTCCATACATCTTGATGTCGAGATGATTAATTTGAAGATATTTGGGCATCAAAACAATCTCTCCTAGTGAAAATTTTGAGGTAGGCTCTAATTTGATTGTTTAGAGCCTCGGCTCTATCTAAACTTTTCCCTTTTTAAAAGCTGTTTTTACTGTTTTAAAGTAATTTACTAAAAATCACATGTTTTAGTCAGAAATAGCTAAAATTCGCTGAATATCACAAAAAAAAGAAAAAAAAAAAAAATGTAACTAAATAATGTTCTATATGAACCAAACAACCAACAAAATAGATATTATCCTGAGTATATTAATTTCAGATGAGATTAATTTATTCCAAATAAAATTAATAGACATGCAAATAGGCCCTTAAAATATTAGTGTGGGTTTAGCATTCTCTGATATCATTTTAATATTTCCACACATTCCCTTCAAATGCCAAGGACAATTTAGTGGTACTTGTTCAGACCATTAACCTCTAGGGAACTTTCATTAAATAAAGAACACATGTTAAAAAAATATTAGGGCTACAAATTCCATTGAAATTGTCATATATTGGTGTTATTCATGCAAACTATAGATATTTGTTTTCGTTATTGTTTTAGTTTAGCATGTAAAGAAACTTTTGAAAATTGCATCACAGGCTGGAAATGACGAAATAAATCAGGACATCCTAGATGAGCGTGCAAAAAGAGCGGAAATGTGGCATAGAAAGGCTGCTAGCCAAGCACGGTTCACAAAACCGGCACCACCCATCACATGTGCCACTTTTGCGCAAGATGTCTTGGAAGGCAGAGCAAAGGCTTCTCAAGCCCATGAACACAAGCACGAACCTCTGACATTTGGACCTGCCAGCCTCATAAGTGGAAACCTGACTACTGAAAGGGAGAGGATGGCTGCCCAGGTCTTTCAGCCTGGTTACAGGTTTGTAATCCTAATTGATCTCGTGAGTACTTCAAAAAAAAAAGCAAAATTTGTCAAAAATAAACCTTAGATACTAAATATTTAATATTTTACCCTTAGGCTTTGATCTAATTTCAAAATACCAATAAAAATATGCCTGATTTTGAGTTGGAAGAGTACAAAAAGGGTAAAATGTTAATTTGTTGAAAGTGAGGTGAAAGAAATACTCACAAAAATCCTACTTGGGTATCTCATAATTTTCATAGTCCTAAATCATGGTGTCCAAGTTAGTACTTTTGTTTACTTGTGTATCTCATAATTTTCGAAGCATTTTGAGGGTGTTTCTGAAACTACCATGGGTGTCCCATTCTTCGCTTAAACAACCATTTTCCCTTTCTTTCCATGTTGCAGTATCTTCATTTTTGGTTATTCGTTTGGAAAATTTTTAGATCTCAATAAATTGACTCTTAAGTTCATCAGAACATTACTTCCAGGTGTGAGAACTTCTTTTTTAATAAGTTTTCCACATTTCTTTTCATTTTAAAGTTATTGTTCGTATATGGGATTTTCAATCCACTTACTCTTCTTCCATGATTTGTACTCTTTTTTGGTCGGTTTTATTTTCTTTTTCTTTTTTTTTGGGTCGGATTTCTGTTATGTTCTAATTTCCCCTTTACCATTTGTCTTCTTTTACATTTTGTTTTCGGAGTACTCTATGCCTTGCTTATTGTTGCTTTCTTGAGCTCTTTTATCTTGAATTCACAAGATTTGGGTAAAAGAACATGGATAATTGAATGAATACTCTCTTGTTGGTCAATCAGATTACCCACAATGAGCATTGAAGAAGCAGGGTTGAGAGAGATGGAAATGATGAACAAATGGCAAGAGAGAAATGCCAAACTCATGGAGGAGGCCAACTCGTCATGGTACAGTGACGGCCATAATAATAAGCCACGCAATGATGATGATGATGATGACGATGATGATGCGGCAGTGCAGAAGGCAAGGGCATGGGACGACTGGAAAGATGATAACCCTCGAGGAGCTGGCAACAAGAAGCTCACCCCATGTGGTTAAATGCCATGCCGATCCCAAACGATTCTTGCAATTCTGAGATAGATGATAAAAGGATTAGGATGGCTTGTATTTGTTTCATACGGTGGAAGAGATGTTGCTTTTGTTAACTTTTTGTTTTTGTTGTTTTGAGGATCAATTATTTTTGTAAAATTTTATCATGGTATATAATTTTGATGTAAAATGTTCTTAGGATTATCTCAAAATCTATTTTTATATCTAATTATAAAATTTAAATTTTAAAAATTGTTAAAATCAAGTAGCTCTATAAACATATGAAAATCTTGAAAATGGACGGTGTAGATAATATGTTGTAAAATGTACTATTTTTGAGATTTAAAATCTTTTTATTTTTCATGGTCATACGTCTCGATGTCGAGATGATCAATCAAAGGGTTTTTCAACATTAAACTACTTTTTTTGATGAATTTTAAAAAAGTATCCGTAGTTTTACATTATAAGCGAACATCCTTATATAAGAATTTTTAAGCCAAGCATTATTAATAAAGATCCGCTCTTCTAGAACCGGATCAAAGCAGGACTCTTTTTTACTCGTAAATGGAGGAGGAAACAAAGTATTAGCCATCTACCCATCTAAACACACGGCCTCCATGTGTATGAACATGAACATACCATGAGGCGCCTCATTCCTTTCGGCATCTTCACCATTAGCAACAAGTTGTGGGTTCTTAAAATGAACCCTTCGATAATAACCAGTGGCCAAGGAGTCCACAATAAGCCAGATGCCCAACAGCATCCGGGACAACGTTAATCATTCCGGTGGAAAAGATGATACCGGCCGAAAAGGCTTTTATCACAAAGAAAGGGCTGCGTTTGGGTTTGAAGGCCGGGATCGATCGCCAAACAATCGGAAGGCAAACTCTTACGGTTCTTGCAAAGAGGATGCATGCGATCGCGGCGAGCTTGAAGGCCAGGGCTTTGGCCTTATCGAGGCCGGTTTTCTGGTTTTCTCAAAGGAGCACGAGTCGCCTTCTTCGGCATTGCTGATAAGGGGGAGTAGGAGGAGAGTGCCTACAGGGGGAGTAGGAGGAGAGAGAAGATGAGGAGAACGGAGGATTTTGCACTCCTAGAGAGAGAAGAGTAAGCAAACAGAATTAGGTCACGAAGTCTTATGGTTGTTCAAGTGAAAGAAAGTTTTAGAAATTGAGGACAGCGTGTTCTCATACTAACTGAAAAATAAGGTAATGTCGACAATCTCTCCTCAAAACAACATTAATTCTAGACTTTGATGAACAAATCTTTTTTTGGAAAGTATTTTTAAAAACAAATATCTTACTATGAATAGAATTAATAATTATATTAGAATGATAGAATATTATAATGAATAGAATTCATTAATTAATGATAGAATGAATTCTTATTCTTAATAATGAATGTAATTGTAAAAAAATGGCTGTAATTATAATGATAATGAAAAAAGAACATAAATCAGAAATCAAATCATAGTATGATACCGACTCATGCATTTCTACAAGGTTTGTCTCTTAAAAAAAATGAAAAAAAATGAAAGTAAAGAATATAATAATTAGAATAGAATCATATAATGAAAGCAAATAAATGAGAAAGGCATTCATATTCTATTCTAGAATAGATTCTATAAGAGTGAAACGAGAACAAAAGTTGTTTCAATGACAACATTGTCAAGTTAATTTTATGAGATTTAATATTTATTTTTAAAAATACATTCCAAGAAGAGATTTGTTCATCAAAGTCGAGAATTAATGTTGGTTCGAGGAGAGATTTGTCGACATTATAGCCATGAATAGACCTCTCTCCCATTTATTGCGGCTTGATACAAAGATTGAGAACCTTATTTTTCAGTTAGTATGAGAACACCCTGTCCTCAATTTCTAAAACTTTCTTTCACTTAATAACAATAAGACTCAGTGACCTATATATTCTGTGTGCTTACTCCTCTGCAACACTCTCTCTCTCTAGAAGGAGAGCAAACACACTCTCTCTCTCTCTTCTTAGTTCTGGTTTCTTTCTCTACCTCTAAGATGAAATCCCTCACTCTCCTCACCTCCCCCTTCAGCAATGCTGAAGGAGGGGAGTCATGCACCTCTAAGGAAAACGACCACCACTGGGCCCTCAAGCTTGCTGCGATCACGTGCACCCTCTTTGCGGGAGCCGTAGGAGTTTGCCTTTCGATTGTTGGGCAATTACAAGGAGTCACAATTACTTCTAGTCATTTGATATCAAATTGGATCGTTTGGGATGTGTCGGAGTTCGAAGTTTTTATTTTTTATTTTTTGAAATTTGAGTAACACTCTTACAACCACTCAATTTTAAATCTCATGTTAAAGAGATATTCTAAGCTTCTTATACCAAAAGCGGATGCTCTCTTTGTATACTTTTTTTTATTTTATTATATCAGTTTAGGGATTTAGTCTCTATAGATTTCAAACTATTTGTTTACTGCATGTTCAAAATTGTTTGTTATCAGATTTGTTTTTTTAGTTGCAAGTTGGAAGTCAGAGGAGGGGTCGACTACAATTTATTTCTACCCTTAACACTATACTCCCATTTACTTGTTATAGTTGTAAATTCTAGGTGAAAATTATATGTTTATAGTTGATAATTTTTACTGATGGAATCTTTTTAAATTGGAAAGATTAAGAAATCACGTAGACAAATCCACATTGTACAAATCTAAACACAACATGCCTATTCTCATATTTGTACTTGGAAATAAACATTAACAATTCAAAAATTTATAAATCACATGGAACAACTGTCATGTGTGCATTTCAAGCTGTTGGCAACTATTCTCCTTCTAAATAATTGGTGAGAAGTGAGAACTACTTTTTTTTTAATTAAAAAAAAAAAAAAAGGATAACTACATATTTGATTGACCCATCCCTACTCCTTTGATATAATTTGCTTGACCCAAATGCAATGACTGATCCTGAAAAGGTTGAAAGACCATAGAAGAAATATTTATTAATCATGCTAAATATGAACCCAATCGAATGAACTACTACTTCTAGTTCTATGAGTAAAGTGTTAAAGAGGTTGCCTTGCCAAATATTTCCAAGAAAGAGATTTCATTGATAAATATAAGGGTCTTGTATGACCGGTTCCTTTCGGTACAAAGACGACATGATCACATTTCGTTGTACGATGTCAAACCTGACAGCTCGGGGGGTTGTCACAATGTTAATGAATTTATATCGAACTTTGAGTCTGATAAATGGCACACGACTTCCGCCCAATTTAAAATCTAAAGACTAAGAATAATTGTGACCTCATTGTTTCAAAGGTAAATATAGTCTTATCTGTGTACTTGTCCAAACTATGAATGTCTTCTTCTCATTTCATTTTCTCCCTGTAGGCAAAGTTTAAGAGTAGAGCTACTGCATGTATGGCCCTCTTCTTCGAGCTTACAACTCCCTCTAGAATAGCAGTGGGCATAGCAATTGCATCAGTATATCATGAGAACAGCCTTACTGCTCTCATAGTCGAAGGCATCTTAAACACGTCATCTGCTGGAATCTTAATTTATATGTCACTTGTGGATCTCTTGGCAGCTGATTTCATGAATCCGAACATGCAGAGAAGTGGAAAACTTCAGTTATGTGCAAATGCTGCGCTTCTTTTTGGAGCTGGAGCTATGTCTCTCATGGCAAAGTGGGCATGATGAGCCAGCGCCTTAGCACGCTTCTTTTTCTACTTTTATGCATTCAATTCCTCAAGCCCCTGCGTCTGCGTCTGCGTCTGTGTGTAACGCACATGCCCCTTTAAATTTTTGTAATGAAAGTTCTACATTTGTGTTACTTTTTTTAGAATAAATTTGACATAAGACTAGCAGATAGCACAATAAATTTGACATAAGGCTAGCAGATAGCGCAATGCTTTAAGATTAATTGAAAACAAACCTGCAAGGCCACAAAAGAAAAACTCTCATTTTTTAACCTATAGGCGATCCATAACATGCCCTTTAAACTGCTTAATAAAATAATCTATCCACTTTAAATAAAAGAAAAATATAGAATGAGACCGTTTAGATTTCGTATTAGGTGGTCACAATTAATCTTGACTATTGGACTGTTCTAAGCAGTAGTTTACTTAAGATTAATAAAACCACATAAACCATGAAAAGGAGGGTCTAGGGAGGAAAATATAATTAGTACCAATAGTATCTCAAAACTGGTTTGATTCTAGTGAATTACTAATATTGAGCAAATTGATAAAAAAATCCACATTTTAATAAAGTTTAGCTACAAGTAAATTAGTTGTGCATTGTTTGGTGACTAATTAATAGATGTAGGATAGTCACAAGCTACTTCAAAGAATCTAGGATTACATATATTTTCATGCATAGAAATGGATTTTTCATAACACATCCAGTCCACAAAATAGAAAGGATATGTTCAAAGAGAGAAAAAGAAACATAATAATATTGTAGTTTTAAAAAAGGGAAAAGTTTATATAGAACCAAGGATCTAAACAATCAAATTTGAGCCTACCTCAAAAATTTCATTAGAAGAGGTTGTTTTGATGCCCAAATATCTTCAAATTGATCATCTCGATATCAAGGTGCATGGACTTGAGAAAAAAATGGATTGCAAGTTTTGAAAATAGTGTATTTTGTGACGCATTTTTTTACCGTCAATTTTCAAGATATCATAGCTATGTCGATCTACACTATTTTTGAAGCTTTGAACTTCATAAATAGATAAAGATTTTCAATATTGAAACTACATTTCTTGACGCTATTTGGAGGTAGGCTTTAATTTGATTGTTTAGAGCCTAGGCTCTATACAAACCGCACCCTTAAAAAAATGGATGTAGTTACAGAAAGAGAAGTTAGAGGGAGAAAATACAAGGTTAGAGATAAAATATTTAGATAAATGATATGATCAAGATGTTATACGATTTGATGATTGCTTAATATAGATTGAACTCAAATCACGACCAACGCACGTGCACTCCACTAGTAATACGTTAAAGCCTCATTCATAAGTGTAAGTTTTGGATAAATTTTGCCTATGGGTTAATAAGATGGGCAAAAACAAATTACTTGTGCAAGCATGGGTAACGCTCCTTTGCTTGGAATATATTATCAATTTTCCTTTCCTTTCCAAATGATGTTTGAAGGTTATGTTTTCACCCCACCCATTCTTAGGATCAGAAGTCATCCTCTTCTTCTAAATTCTAACCCTGACCTTGTGGGATCTTTCCATCCAAAAGTAACCCCAATGTGTAATACAAATGGTCCAATGGAAGCAAGAATTTTCAAGAACATTTGGAACATTTCGTGGTCCAATGGAAGCAAGAATTTTCAAGAACATTTGGAACATTTCGTTTCTGAACAGAAGAACCGTTTTCAAGTAGTGTTCGATCGTATTTTCCTTTCTCTTTTTTAAGGACTGTTTGATCATTATAAGTTAGGTAGATGTGGTAATAAGCAGAGATTGGGAGTTTTTCTTATCTCTCAGCAAACTCAAGTAGTTGTTGTGCCCCATGTATGTGGTGGGATTCTTTGAAAGTTTCCTTGTAGGGTTGGAGATGATGGAAATAGGCAACACTATCAGAAAATGGTTAATTGGATATGCTGTTATGGAAAGGATAAATGAAATTGGATTTCATTGCCCTTGTGATATAATATCCACAAAACATATAATTTTCTCCCCCATTGCCTAAGAATGTAGTTCATTTTTTGTGAATGAACTATGTAAAAAACTTTGCATGTGCCTTAATTTGTGCTTGTATTGTAATTGTGTTATTCCCATTTTTACTTGTTCATTCTATTTCTCTCAAGTTTATTACACAAGCTGACATTTGAAGTATTGGGTTTTGAAAGCAAACTACTTATTCAATCATTTTATAGATAAATATTCAAGTTGATCACATTTTATCAGCAAAGGCAACTTAGATATCCATAGGCAAGAAACAATTGAGATTTCTTGTTTGATTTCTTTCTGTTAACAACCGCTATTGCACCCCCCTACATTTCCCTCTCCTCAATTTCAGAACCTTTTAAGTTAAGGATTGTCTACAAAGAGACTATATATCTTTGGGTGTGGTTTTTATAAGGTTGCAACCTTAAACAATCCAATTAAGGCTTACCCCTAAATTTTATTATAACATATAATTTTTGTGTAAAAAGTTATTTGGATTATCTGAAAATCTAATGTCATATTTAATTATAAAATTTTAAACTACAAAAATGATTAAAATCAAGTAGATCTATAAACATATTAAATCTTCAAAATGGATGGTCTAGATAATATGTTTTGAGATACACTATTTATGAGACTCAAACTCTTTTTTTTATCTATATTCATACATCTCGATATCGAGATGATTAATTAGCGGGTTTTTCAACAATAAAACAACCTTTTCCAATGGATTTTTGATGTGCATCTTTGTTTCTACATTTTAAAGTTACAACCTTATATAAACTTTTTCCTTTATCTTTTGTACATGGAGGTCACAATCATTTCTAATCATTAGATCAAATTGAATGGTTTGGGGTAAGCCACAAAGTTCGAGAATTTTTTTTGGAACTTTGTGTCTATTAAGTGACACTCTTAGCACCGCCTAATTTGAAATTTAAGGGACAAGAATAATTGTAAACTCCATGTATAAAGGATAAATGATATCTCTATAGACAATCCATTTATGTCAATGAGTATAATAAATAAAAAATCTAATAAAATATGAAAAAATATATTTAAAGCATGACTAAACAAAGCATATCCAAATGAAGTTGAAAATTAAATAAAAAATAGATTAGAAAAAATCAATTTGTGCCCAAGGGTGTTTTTGAAATTTTTTGAAAAGATGGAAAAATATAAAAATGGATATTAATGACCAAAACAATTTTCAATATTTTTCAAAATAATGAAAAACATTAAAAAAATGCATTACAAACAAAATCCATTATTTTTTGAAATTTTGTATTATTTTTTTATTTTTTCAAAATACCTAGCCGGTTCACCAAAACCGACCAAAACCAATTTCGATCTAACCGGGTGGTTAGATGTTGAACCGCCTGATTTTTCTTACATTGATTTCAGCCTCTTATATATGCTGAAAGCTCCCTAAAAATCTTCAGTTCCTTTGAGCACCTCTAAAACCGAGCTTCAAATTAGAGAGAGATATTCTTCTCCATGAGTTGTTGAATTACTATAAATCAAAATGCCAAAGAGTACGGTCTACACACGTTCTTAATGTTTATATATAACAATGTGCCAAGGCCCATTAAATCAGGTTTCTTCTCCTTTGTAACCATCCCACCAACGCAGCCTTTGTTGACATTCGAATGAGGTTCAACTGAACCTTAAGTTTGTGAATGTCCGGCCATTTACTTTGGATTTCAGCAGATGAAAACCTGAGCTAATCGATTGTGCACCCTCCGGTTTGTACTCTTCATCCTGGAACAGAAGCTTTGGAGAATTCACAAGAGAGGATTCAGTGTGGTTTGAAAACTGGTTCATCTTCCAAATCTCAGTTGAAGGCCTGTGACTATGGCCTAAAGCATCCTTCTTCACATCAAATTCACACAAAAATGAAAAAGGACGAGCAGAAGACTAGTATGATGTTGTGAATATTGAATGGGTGTACTTCTGCGTAAAATTTCCATAAAATTATATCAATATGTAAACGCCATATTTAATTATGGTCATCATCATCATTTTAACGTTTTTCTAATTAATTGGGGTCGATTACATGAATTATGCTTCGTCATTCTAATCTATTAAAGACCATATCCTCAGTGAAAACCATATTTAAATATAGTTCATACATAATTTTTCCTTAGAAATATGTAAAGCCCATAAGCATCTTTGATATAGCACAAGAGTTTAAACAAACATTATGATTGTGACTATATTTAACAGTGATTTTTGACAATATATTTTTACACGATGTCATTTTTAAAACAATTGGGTTAAAACATGAAGAGCATATTATTGCTTGTAATAACAAAATATAAGAACCCTTCCATCCTCAAAAGAGTTTATAATGGAAAAGTACATAAAGAGACCATTAACTTTTGCTACAAGGATGGCGTAAACACTTTTGTCCGATAGATTTTAAATTAGGTGGTTGTAAGTATGTCATTGACTAGATTCAAAGTGAAAAAAAATTTCTCATACTTCGTGACACACCTCATGCCATCCAATTTGACATCTAATAACAATGGCTTGGAGTGATTATGATCTCCTTGTAATAATGGTAAATGATGTCTCGTAATACAAAATCCTTATAATAATAGGGTATAAAAATCAAACCGTAAACAATACGTCACAATAGCTAAAAGATTATATAGATTATATGCTCTTAGAACACATTGGTCTATGTTTTTGTGTGCAATATTTTCTCCCTGTTTTTACATTAATATGAACCCATCTGGTTCTCCCCACAACATTTACACTCTAGCCATAGATTTCTTACAAACGCAGAGTCATATCAATTTTATTCTAATTATATATGTTTGAAAATTTGGCGGTCCAGATCGAGAAAAAATATCTTCAGACCGATCTAAATCAACAATTTGGCCGGTCTAACACGTGAGGGGTGGAAGATGGACCTCAGAGTTGCGTTTTTTCGAACACTTTTCAGGAGTACATGGATGGGCATAGTCTTGTGCGTCTTCAATGATAGTGAAGCAGCAGCCTGCACTTTTCCTTAGAACTTGTCTATTTTCGAATGGGGATTTTCTTTGTAGATCCAATTGAGCATTTCATCCGAGA